AAAAAAAAAAAAAAAAAAAAAAAGAAAGAAAAAAGAAATTGGTAAAGAGGGAAGAGAGGCCTGATACCCCAAATAGGGCACCTTGTGATCTGAGGAAACAGTAGAATAAAGATCACTGTATCTTCTCCCACCTTCTCCCCTGAATCAGGCCATAAGCAAAATCTATGTCCTTCTTTCAAAGCAGGTCCTTTCTGGTGCCCTCTCYGTTCTTGACAGAAGGAAGCGTCCTCACTTCTGAACAGTGACACCAAGAGGAGTCTGAGCTGGGCCTCTTCCTCTGCCTAGTTCTTTGCTGCAGGACCACGGCTCCTGGGTCCCAGGATGCTCTGCACCTGAGTCCTCTCTTCATCCAGCTCAGCACAGAACCACACGTGCTCCCTGTTTCTTTGGGTCTTCATTTCTGAAGGCTCTTTTGTCCCATGGAACTTAYATTAAGTAAATCTGCACGCTTTGGGCTGTTAATCTTTTTTTTTTTTTTGTACCCGGGATTGAACTCAGGGGCACTCGATCACTGAGCCACATCCCCAGCCCTGTTTTGTATTTTACTTAGAGACAGGGTCTCACTGAGTAACTTAAGGCCTCACTGTTGCTGAGGCTGGCTTTGAACTCGAGATCCTCCTGCCTCAGCCTCCTGAGCCGCTGGGATGACAGGCATGTCTCAGTCATGAAGCTGGCTGTGGGGAAGTGAAGGGTATTACTTTTTCTCCCCCCGCAGGRCTTCTGTTCAGTATTGGGAATGTAAATGGAAAAATAAGTGATATAAACCCTAYAGAATGTATCCAGATGTGTAATGTACACACTCTTTTATGTAGCAATAAACTTGTAGGGGTTTAGATTAAGAAATAATCACACAAGTATGCAAAGCATACTGTCCACACGTAATCCCCACCTCCATCCATGTTTACAAGGGTGGAGAGATGGAAATGACCCAAACTGATATCAGCTAAAGACTAATGGGGGACAAGTTGACCCATAATACCATAGGCTCCTATAGGTCAGTCTGTAGTTGTTGATGCAGCAAGACAGCCTCAGCACATGGTGGGATGAACAGAACAATTCTTAAAGTGCACGTGTGTAATGATCCTGGGGCTGTATCTAGGTGAGTTCTAATGAAGCTGTGCTTCTCTGGATTGTGACTTCCAAAAATAGGGGCTTTGTTCTTTTCACTGCTGTAWCCCTGGTTCCTACAGCACAGCCTGGTACTTTGCATCATGTTTGATGGATGAATAAGTGAAAGATGTTTAGAAAGCTCTTCACTAGTGGCTGAGTGCTGGTGGTTTTTTTTTTTTTTTTTGCTGGGCGTTGTGGCACACACCTGTAATCCTGGCCTTCGGGAGGCCAAGGCAGGAGAATCATGCGTTCAAAGCCAGCCTCAATGACTTAGTGAGGCCCTAAGCAACTCAGTGAGACCCTGTCTCTAAAGAAAATGCAAAATAGGGCTGGGGATGTGGCTCAGGGGTTAAGGGCCTGTGGGTTCAATCCCTGGAACAAAAAAAAAAAAAAAAAAAAAAAAAAAAGGGGGGGGGGGGGGGGAAGAGAGCCTATTTCATTTTTATAGAAATAGGTACAAGACCTACTGCTTATGAGAATGTGTCAGTGGCTGTGTAAACTGGTTCAACTCTTTTGGAAAATAATTTGATGGTAAAGATTCAAAAATCACTATTTCTTTGCCTATTATTCCTGAATGGAAATTTATGCAAAATATACCTCTCTGAGTTGCTGAGGCTGGCTTTGAACTCACTCGCGATCCTCCTGCCTCGGCCTCCGGAGCCTCTGGGGTTACAGGTCGCACCAATGCGCAGGACTTAGGTAGGGGTTTTTATGTAGCCCAAGCTTCAAAGCTATTGCATGACCTAGTGGATCACATGCCCACACATGGCTAATGTCACAGAAGAATGAAAATGATGAGTAAGGACTTGACAGATTTTGCTGGTCATTTTCATTGTCACTATTTATTATTAAATATTCAAAAATTTCCACACAAACAGATAAAAGGGGAGGGAGGAAGAGCTTCACGACCTGGAAGTTGGGTTCCACCCACTCCCGGCCTGGCCTTGAGCGAGGAAAAATCACTAGTCACCACCCGGGGGCGTGCTCAGGCCGGGCGAGGCGTTCCCGGCGGTGTCCGGTAGGTGACGCTGTTGGCGGCGGCGGCAGAGAAGGGACCGGAAGCCGGGCCGGAGGTGGCTGGGAGTTTTGTCCGACTCCTCCCGCTTCCGCTGCCGCAGTCGCCGCGCGTCAGAGCCGGGTTTGTTTCTGTCCGCTGTCCCCCCGGCCGCCGCGATGCCGCTGGAGAACCTGGAGGAGGAGGGTCTGCCCAAGAACCCCGACCTGCGCATCGCGCAGCTGCGCTTCCTGCTCAGCCTGCCGGAGCACCGCGGGGACGCGGCGGTGCGCGAGGAGCTGATGGCCGCGGTCCGCGACAACAGTGAGGCCCCGCGAGCGCCGAGTCAGCGGCCTGGGCCTTTCCCCGACGGGCGCGGACCCGGGCGTCCTGCTACCGGGTCCCCGCCGCTCGGCCTGGCTTTTTCTGGGGGCAGGGCCTTCTTTCCGGAGGCGATGGCTTTAGGGTCCTTTCTCTCCCAGGGCAGCTGGGGGAGAGCCCGGTGCTAGGCAGAGAGCAAAGGCCCAGGGGCCGGCGGCCTCCCTTCCTAGCRTGGAGGACGTGCTTGGACGGCCGCGTCTGACGCCTTCACTTGCTTGGAGACTGGAGTTCCCTCCTTTGCAACCGAAGCCGTCTAGAGCAGAGGGTCACCCTCCTTTTAGACCGAGCAGGGTTTGGCCAGTGTCAGGACTGGCCCTCGGGCGGCCCCCCACCTGCAGACGTCTACCTGTGGCCATGTCGTTTGCCACGCCCTGTCCCTTCCCTTCCCCGGAGTGCGGAGGAGACTGGTGGATGACAGTTGCGTGAAAAGAGGCGGCAGACACCGACTTTACAAGTGACCTCACCCGTGCGTCCCTCTTTTTGGCTTTCAGACATGGCTCCTTACTACGAAGCCTTGTGCAAATCCCTCGACTGGCAGATGGACATGGACCTGCTCAATAAAATGAAGAAGGCCAATGAGGAGGAGTTGAAACGTTTGGATGAGGAGCTGGAAGATGCAGAGAAAAACCTGGGGGAGAGTGAGATTCGAGATGCCATGATGGCAAAAGCCGAGTACCTCTGTCGGATAGGCGATAAGGTGAGTGGCGGTGATGTCCCCACTCCTGTGTGAGTATGTTGTAAAGTTGGGGAATATTCTGTACTAATGTCATCTCATTGTAAAAATTAACTTTAAAAATCCAGAGGCAGTCTTGTTCCTGAACTAGTGAGTCAGTGCAAAGATGAATAAGTAATCAATAGTCTTGCAAGTCCCTATCATTGACTCTGGATAAATGCCGGTGTGTTCTTCCACTCCCGGCTCCCTGTCATTAGAGACAAGTGCACATGGAGATTTGTATTCACTGCTTTTACAAAATTGGGGTCATTCTCAATAGTGCATTTTTCTCACTTGGTTGGGAAGTATTTATTGTACATTATGAAAACACTGCACTGCTCTTCTCCTTCTAAGACACTAAGGCACAGGAAGTGTTGAAGTTCTGGTTTGACCGTTTACTCCTTACATCCACAGAGATGACCTTTTAGTTCTTTTATTGTGCATTTATGTGCATTCACTTGTCATGTAGAAAATAGGTAGTATTTAATTTTTTAAAAAACCTGTATGGAATCATAGTGTACTCAGGTAGTCCTGTTGATTCTCTTTTTAATATTTTATAGTTATAGATGGACACAATGCCTTTTTATTTATTTATTTGTTTGTTTTATGTTGTGCTGAGGATTGAACCCAGTGCCTCATGCATGCTTGGCTGAGCTACAGCCCATGTCCTGTTTATTCTTTTCACCTGGTATATCTGAGAGGATTTCCCATGGTAACAGATACCTATCTCACTCATTCTGGTGAACTGCTGCCTAATGTTCAACTGTAGAATATACCATAGTTTGTCTATTCAGGGGTTCTTGGACCTATATGTTGTTTCAGCTGTTTTTAACAAACTGCTGCTGTAGAAAACATGCTTGTATTTGTCTCTTGGTATATTTTTATAAGCTAGTGTTTCTCTGAGGTATTGATCAGTCTGTGAAATGAAATTGCTGGGATGGTGATCGATTTTTTTTTTTTTTTTTTTTTTTTTGCCCTGTGTGGCCAATTCTGCACAACACTCACCAGAACTGGATTTTTTTAAAAAAAATTTAGTAGTTGTGTGATAGTGGGTAAGAGGATGCACTCTGAATGTCCTTAATTTTAAGTAGTAGACTTAAGTATATGGATATAGGATGATGGGTCAATATAAAGAATGAAATGGTGTGCTCTCTTGGATCAGATCATCTGAGTTTTATTTTCAGCTTAATTAATTTTGATTTACTGAACCCTTAGTTTCTCATCTGTAAAATAGGGATAATGACAGTTTCTACTTATTSCTGGCTAAAGATAGAGGCAAAGAACTTAGACCAGTACTTGGCACAAAATGTGAAGCTATTACTTAATTGAAAGACTTGGTCATGGTAAAAATTTGGAATATATAATGAAAGTTTAAAAATAGTAGTTCTGCTTTTAGGTTATGTGTGTGTTTGGTTTTGTTTTAAAGAGTATTGGTTAGCTGCTGCCTATATCACTTCTGAGTGAGAAACTTTTGATTCAGACCTTTAACTTCAACAAGGGCATGCTTTAGTCAAAATCAAGGAGTTATGAATTGGTTATGTTCTAATACTATGTTCCTCTTATGTTTACCAAGTAGCATTCTTCCAAAAAGAACATTCTTTTTTTCCCCTCCTATACACTGTTTTTATTAATTATAGACATGGAGGGTTTTTATTATTGTGTTGGCCACTGGTTGTAATCTTTATTTTTTATGATTTGTGAGTGGAGGTCTCTTCAAGACAGCTTCTTTATCCTTTGACATGACTTCATTGGTGGGCTTTTTTTGGTGGTGCTGGGGATCAAACCCAGGACCCCAGGCAAGCACTGTACTCTTGAGCCACATCCCCAGCTGCCTCTTCCTTATGTTTTGACACAGGAACATTTCACAAGCTCACCTGTTATCTTTCCTCTCCATACCTGGAATGGTCTGTTTCTCCTAGGACCCCGGTTCCTTTTCGTGGGGGGTGGTGTTTACATGTCAGGAGTTGAGGTGAGGTGCACCCACTGCTGCCTTGACAGCCTCTCTTGTAAGTCCATGGAAATTATGAAGGAATGAATTTCATACAAACCAGCTAGACATGTTTTGAAAAATACCAAGTATAAACAAATTTTTATTCATATTCTTCAAAACAATGGAATCATTTTATTCGACAGTGCTTTGAGATAGGATTGTATGTGTACATTGTTGTATGCTAATAATCAGTGGCATAAGATAATATTCCCATTGCCTTTTTAAAACTTTTTTTAGTTGTAGTTGGACAYGATGCCTTTATTTTATTTATTTTTATGTGGTGCTGAGGATGGAACCCAGGGCCTCACTCTAGTGCTAGCACTTGAGCCACAACCCCAGCCCCCCCATTGCTTTCAAAGTGATGAAAATTGCTAATTTATAGTAAAGTTATTTTCAAGTAGTGTATTATAATTTTTAAAGCAAACATTGCATACATGAGACAAGGGATACTACAATTATAAGTTAGTAATGTCTTATATTTTCTAGAATGTTAGTATATGCTAAGCATTTCTTATACTTTATACAAGTGGAAAGAACAGTATAATAAACCCATCTACTCACTGTACAGCTTCAGCAGTGATCAGCGCGTGGCCGTCTTGTTTTTGACCTGTTGCCCCAGCTCTTCTGAAGAACTCCCAGACAGCTGGTAGCTTTGACAACTTGTAAACTTTCCTCACCTGTTGTCTTGGTTTTCTGGACAGGAGGGAGCTCTGACTGCCTTTCGTAAGACATACGACAAAACTGTGGCCCTGGGTCACCGCCTGGACATTGTATTCTATCTCCTTCGGATTGGTCTGTTTTATATGGATAATGATCTTATCACCCGAAACACAGAAAAGGCCAAAAGGTACTTTAAAAAGTAATGGGGTGAAATTTCCTCTAAATTATGATGCTATTAATGAGAAGTTGATAGGAGAAACTTGCTTATTTTGTTTACAACTCTTAAATTTGGTCAAATAACTCTGCTTATTGAATAAAATACTTTCTTCAAAATACGCCCTTTTGTTCAAGTTAAGCTGTGTTCTCTTTGAAAAATTAAAAAAGTGGCCAGATGTGGTGGCTCAAGCCTGTAATCCCAGCAAGGCAGAGGCAGAAGGATCGCAGGTTCAAGGCTATCCTCAGCAACTTAGTGAGACCTGTCTCAAATAAAAAGTGGGGTGGGGTGGTCAGTGACTCAGTGGTAAGGGTTCCCCTGAGTTAGATTCCTAGTAACTACAACAAATTTATTTTTAAAAAGTGGCATTGTCTGTTTTCAGGTTATGACCTCAACTGTTTTTATTTACTAGTTTAATAGAAGAAGGAGGAGACTGGGACAGAAGGAACCGCCTGAAGGTTTACCAGGGTCTCTACTGTGTGGCCATTAGAGATTTTAAACAGGCAGCTGAGCTCTTTCTCGACACCGTCTCRACGTTTACCTCCTATGAGCTCATGGATTACAAGACGTTTGTGACTTACACTGTCTACGTCAGCATGATTGCCTTAGAGAGACCAGACCTCAGGGAGAAGGTGATGACTGACCCTGTACTACTGTAAAGGACCACTCCATGCTTCTCTAAGTACACGAAGTCATTAAAGCATAAGCTTTATTTTTTTAATACCCAGGTCATTAAAGGAGCAGAGATCCTTGAAGTGTTGCACAGTCTTCCAGCAGTTCGGCAGTACCTCTTTTCTCTTTACGAATGTCGTTACTCTGTTTTCTTCCAATCATTAGGTAAGGAGAGAGTGGCCATTTTGATGATCTGTCTTTATCTTCTGATCCTGTGTACAAATAACCAAAGATGATTTTTCACATACCTGGAAGATGTAGTGTGTAGATAACTGCAAGTTTTTGATCGATATGGCTCATTTTCTGCCAGTTTTGTTGAGAGGAAGGTTAGTTAGCAAGCTGTAGTCCATTTTTAGGACTACATTTGTAGGCCAGGAGGTAACAATGATTTTTATATTTTTAAAGTGTTGTTTAAAAGAGTAGAAAAAGAGGTCCATGTATTAYAGGTGGCACACACCTGTAATCCTATCTATTCAGAGGCTGAGGCAGGGGGATTGCAAGTTTGAGACCAGCTGGGCAACTTAAGGGAGACCATGTCTCAAAATGAAAATGAAAAGGGCGTGTGTGTGTGTGTGTGTGTGTGTGTGTGTGTGTGTGGTACTGCCAGAACACAGCAGAAGAGTGTCTGATGTAGAACTGTGTGGCTTGCAAACCTAAAAATACTTATCTTCTCTGGCCCTTTGACAAGGAAGTTCACCACGCCCTTAGAGGCTAAAGGGGGGGGGGTGTAATAAGTTAAGGGTGAATAAAGGATTGTAAGGGTTGACTCTGATGAGGAAAGAGTTGAGGGAATATGGAGTGTCTTTGGGTTGAGGTCAGCTGAGCCTGGATTTCACTGATAGGTTTTTGTTGTTGTGTTTTTTTTTTTTTTTTTTTTTTTTTGCAGTAATTAAGGCTTTGTGCTGATCTGCATGTCATTTTCAGAGATTGTGGGCTGAGAACATAATCTGTGGGAAATATCTATGTTTCTTCAAAGCTACTCTACAGATATCCCGCCCACACAAATTTGCTTTTTCCTCCAGTCCCCTTTTCTCCCTGGCCATTTGGTTTCTAATGACTACCGAACTAATGACAGAAGAATTAGCTTGCARATGATTTTGCTAAAACAGCAAAATTTAGCATTGATGTAGTCTCTTGTTTATGCTGCAGACTTCAGAAAGTGCTTGTCTAAATGTATCACATTCGTGAAAAATGGGAAGGGGGGGACTTCAAATGATTGTTATGGAGCACTTTGTCTGTATTCGAGGGGCTGATCTCATATAACGTAGGCACAGGGCCATCTTGCGTGAGTCACTGCCCCCTTGGCCTCACCCCTTCTTCATATGTACACATGGTTGTAATGCAGAGTTGCTCTTTTTTGTGTTTGGGGGTCTCTAGAGCCTTTCCTCAGTCAGAACAAACTCATTACTTCTCTCGTTCCTGGAATTACAAATTAAAAGATACAATTCCCATATCATAAAATTGACCATTTTAAGGTGTCCTATGCAGACAGGGTGGTGCAGCCATTAACAGATTCCCATTAGGAAGCCTGAACTCATTAGCAGTCAGTTCTCCCCCGTAGCCACCTYTGTCTACTTTGTGTTTATAAATGTCTATTCTGGACCTTTCACGTAAGTGGAATCAGGATAAGTGTCTTGTGCCCGAAGACTTTGACTTAGCYTAATACACTTGCAGTTCATCCATGTTGTAGCATGGATTCCTTCATTTTCTTTTATGGTCAAGTGATAGTTTGTTGTGTAAATATGCCACATTTTATCCATTCATTAGTCAGCAGACATCTACACTGTTTCCACTTTTTGGCTACTATAAATGCTAGTGAGCATTTGTGTACAAGTTTTTTGTGGCTATGTTTTTCTTTCTTAGGTATATATACCTGGGAGTCTGGAATTGCCAGGTCATATGGTGATCTAATTTTTAAAGGAAATACCAAATTATTTTCCAAAGGAGTTGTACCACTTGACATTCCCACCAGAACTTGTGGGTACTGTGGGAATTCAGTACCTGTGTCTCTCTTTGATCATGGACATCCTAGTGGGTGTGAGGTGGGACCTCACCGTGATTTTACTTTGCAGTTCTCTGAAGACTGGTTATGCTGAGCATGTTTTCATTTGCTCATTGCCACGTACATAAGTAGTTAGAGCCTAGCACACCGTTTCATCATGCTTTCTTAGATTGTTTCTTTTGACTAGAATTTTTTGGAGCAGACCTCATATTTTTTTCCCTTCCTGTCCCTGACACCAGCATGGTGCTGGCACATTTACCGAGGGCTTGATGTAAATGCTACATTAGTGAGAGCAGTGATTGAAGGGGGTTTCATGCTGGTGTGATGAGATTGGTGGCTTGGGAGCTGTGGAGATGTTTAAGGCATTAACCTCTCCCACCTCCCCATCCTTGCCAGTCATCCACCTTGTTCAAGGCACAAGCGTCCTTCTTTTCTCTGGGTCACTTTGATATCTGTAGCAGATGCTTGTATTCTGAAGTTTGTCCTTTCTGTTCCCGGGTCGAGCTGTGCTTATCCTGCTCTGGGATCTTCCCTTATTTGCATTGCTCTGTTCTTTGCTGTCTGTAGCCAGCTTAGCAGAGCCATCTTCCTGTCTACCCTGTTCATGGAGAGCTTCATCCCACTGTCTTCTGAGACTATTGCGTTCCTCTATTTCTACACTTGCAAACTTTGCTTTCCTGCCATATCATCTGTAAATATTCAAAAAAATAAGTTATATTTGTATGGACTACTCATTAACATCGTGTGTATGGTTTACTGCTTTTTTTTAAGTTGTCAATGGACCTTAATTTACTTATTTATATGTGGTGCTGGGGATCGAACGCAAGGCCTCACACCTGCCAGGCAAGTGCTCTACCACTGAGCCACAGCTCCAGCCCCTGCTTTTTTGGTTTTTAAAGCTGAGTTTTAAGAGCTCTTTCAAGTTCTTATAAATCACTTTTCATTAAACCTTTATGGGGCGTTAAGACCATTTACATTTCTGACAGTAGGGTTCATCAGTCTTTCCCTTTACTGCTTCTGCTTTGTTACTTTTAAAATGTCCAATTTATACTGCTTTCTGGTCTTTTTTTATGTCACAAATTTTTYTTAAGGGTATAAGAAGTTCCTTATAGTTACTTTGTCAGTCTGTGGACACATTCCTTTAGAAACTGGGTTCTTTTTAATAGGTGATGTCAGATAGCCAAGTGCCACATGACTGATGTGCCTGGAGCTGGCCTCAACTTGGTCACGGCTGCTGTTGTGGTGGTGTGGAAGGGCAGAGAGAAATTCTCTACTTGACTAAATCTGTCTCTTGGACTCAAGAGTTGTTTTAGATTTTAAYCCCTTAAGATGGAAGGTGGAATCAGATAACTTATCATCTTATTCATTGCAGCGGTTGTGGAACAGGAAATGAAAAAGGATTGGCTTTTTGCTCCTCATTATCGATACTATGTAAGAGAAATGAGAATTCACGCCTACAGCCAGCTGCTGGAATCCTACAGGTCCTTAACCCTGGGCTACATGGCAGAAGCATTTGGTGTCGGAGTGGAATTCATTGATCAGTAAGTTTAGCACTGTGTTAGTTTTACAATTGCCTTCTAATGTGATTTCTACATTGCCTATGGGTATTATGTTTTGAGGGGAAAAAATACACATCAAGAGTTTGATTCTAAATATCAAAACACATCTGTCATGTCTTCCTTCCTCAGTCTTCCCCTCTTATTGATACACGGGAAGAGCGAGGTGCAGAGAAGTGGTCACTAAAGTTGCCGGGATCCTTTGTTCCTCTGACAGCCACGCGTAGCTAATGTTTTACCTTAGGTTTCTGTATTTACATTTGGTCCTAATTCTGGCCAAACTAGTGGTTGAACTTAGACTTTTAGTATTTGAATAAGACAGTGATTCAAATAGACCTCGGTGTGTGCTTGGTATTGATAGAGATGAGAAAGTGTTCTAGTGCCCTTGGGACTGTATCTACATGTGGCAGGCCTGAGAGGGGAGGGTTTGCTTTGAGATATGATTGACAGTTAGCCCCATGGAGTTCTAGATGCAGAGAAGGGGACAAGCTTGGATATCACAGGAACAGAAAAAGCCAGGGGGACTCAGCATCGTTGGGGAATGGTGGTCGAGTGTGGCACTGAGGTCAGTGAGTTAGGCAGTGGGTGTTTGTGTGTGGGGTCGTCCTTGTTTTCCAGCTGGGAGGCTATGGCAGGACTTCCTTGCTCTGAGTGTATGTGATGGCCATGTGCTATCATGGCTTCCGATACAGGTCCTTAAGTCATATACAGTTTTCAGTGGTTCACAATGACAAAATGAGGGTGTGTTTCATTTAAACAAGACCATTTTCTTTGTAATCTGTCATTCTTTAATTCTACAATGAATTTTATCATTTTATTTGCTGTTATTTTTTAAACATGTCAGAGCAAGTTTCAGACACTAATAGACAGTATTTGTTTTGAGATGCAGTGCACAGCTAGACCTAATCCAAAGCCCTGTTGTCTTTCCCTCATTTTCTTCCTTTGGAAGAAAGAAAAGCAGTGATAGTAATCTTGTTTTTAAATGCTGGTGTCCTTGGTTTTGTTGCATATTGAATTCCAAATTCGGTAATCATGGCCCAGAAGACTGTTTACTGGGCTGGACCCCATAAATGGGTTTTCTGAGTTGGGGGAAGGAGTGGCTGCTTCTTCCAGCTCTGCAACTGAACAGCTGTGTGGCCTTGGTCAGTTCCTTAAACTTCACTAGTGGTGGCAGTGGGAGGCTCAGGTGGAGGAGGAGATGCATGGAAGCCACAGTTTTGATGACCAGTGAATTCAAGGCAGCTGGTACATTTCCTCCAGGAAGGGACTATCTCAGTACAGGCTGTTGCAGATCATGGGCTTTGTCTGAAACAATGTAATAGTTGAATCATTTCTTCTCCAGGTCCTTTAAAGACTTGGTATGAATGGCTTCACTGTTGGACACCTGTGTCCCATTACTGTAAACTTCTAGGGTTGTCTGTGTAGATGATAAATCCAACAGTATACCAGGGACATCTCAAAAGTACAGCATATGCAGTAATAGCTCAGGCTAGAAGGAAGACTAAGGGTTACTTGAAAGAACACTGAATATGAGTTTCAAAGCATTCTGCAAGTACTATTCTTTCTAAGGCTAATGCTGGTTTTCCTTTCTTTCAATTAGGGAACTGTCCAGATTTATTGCCGCTGGGAGACTACACTGCAAAATTGATAAAGTGAATGAAATAGTGGAGACCAACAGGTACTGTTTTGTGCATAGAATAAGGGGTATTTGCAAATGGCTTAGAAATGTAGGTCAGTGATTGTCATGGAGAAATGTGGCTGGTAAATAATTTACTTTCTTCCTGTATTTATTTATAGACCTGATAGCAAGAACTGGCAGTACCAAGAAACTATCAAGAAAGGAGATCTGCTACTAAACAGAGTTCAGAAACTTTCCAGAGTAATTAATATGTAAAGTCATTTGAACAAAGGATTTTCTTCTGAGTAATTGGAATTTTTATAGCTTATTTCACTATGTGCCCAGTTCACCTTATAAAATAAATACTACATTGTTGTTTCACTTTTTTTCTTAAACATACTTGCCTTTAAGGATGGTAGTCCTATAATGATAATGTCACTTGAATTATTCATTAATGAAAAGTGTTTTGTCATTCGAATGAGTTCTGTTCAAGGTATGATGGTCACAGTCAGAGGCGTAGGACCCAGGACTCATCAGTACGGTAAGGACCTCCTGATTCTGGAGAGAAAACACTGTTACCCTCTTAGTATAATGGAACATACATGTTTTCATGTATGCTTTCCCTCACAAACAAGTAACCATGTAAGACAAGAAGTTACCTCATTAGCAAGCTGGCAACCTAGATTCTAGAACATACCTTACAGAGCATAGATTCTAAGGAATCTTGTGCGTATATTAGCAAAATGAATCTCCCCCAAAACAGTGACAGCAGTGGGGGGAATCAGAACAGCTCCTTCTCTGTCTTCCAACTGTGAGCTCTGAGTCAGGTGGGATAAGAGCTATGTAGATGGGGATGCAGTGGGATAGAGTATGAAGAGGACATTTTAAACAGGGTGTCATAGAAGGCCTCTGTAAGGTGACATTTCAGTGAAAACCAGGGAGAGAGCATGTGGGTACCTTGGAAAACCGACAGCAAGTCACTGGAGGTTTTAAGCAGAGAAATCTGAGAAATGACCTTACTTACCTTTCAAACTGTCACTGTAGCAATCAGCTGGAGGCGACACTGGGTGGGACGGGGGTGGATGGTGGCAGTGGCCCAATTGCTGAAAGTAAAATGGCAGGAGGGCAGGTGAGGAAACAAATCAGGGAGATCAGAGGCTGTTTGCTTAGGTTAAAGGTGACTCTTGGCTGTGAGTTTTGGCATCTCACAGGGAAGAGAAAGAGGTTTTGTTGTTGCTTTGGAGCATGCTTTTTTGGTTGATGGGAATGATACACTAACATTAGAGAAAATGTGATCTTATTTGAAACTAACTCATAATCAACAAAAACTCTTCTGTAAACCAAATGATAAAATAAAAACCTACCACGACAAGATTCGTAATGGCAAAATATCAGAAGCATTATCTTACAGGTTGAGATAGTGGTTGCCATCAGATTATCACAGGAGAGATGGTGGGGCTGTGTGTGGAGGTGGACAGGAGGCTTTCGGTTGGATGCCTAAAGCATTTAAGAATACCTGCCTATAGGTTTCAAAATGATCCATAAAACCTTAATTTTGTGAACTGAACATAAGTGTCCATACAAGATCCTGCAATTCATCAAGTGCAGTCTGTTAAATCCAGCAAATTGTCATTGAGAACTTACTGTGCTCCTTGTCTCCCTTTAAAGTTAGAACAGTTATGAGCTGCATGTGTGTGATCCTAGCTACTCAGAAGGCTGAGGCAGGAGGACCACAAGTTTGAGGCCAGCCTCAGTAATTTTTAGTAAAATCATGTCTCAAAAAGCGCCCAGGATGTAGCTCAGTGGTAGAGCACTTGCCTACCGTTCGCTCCCCAGTATTGCAAATAAATAAAATGAGCAGAATTCTACTTTTTAGCCAACTGACTCCTTACAGTTCATGCTAGAGGGAAAATAAGATCAAATTGCCAGTTTTTAAAAAATAGTCTTTCCCTCAACTCCCTCTAGTGAAACACCACAGCCTGATATGATCATACAGAACTGTGGCTTTTCTGCTGAGAGTCCCTGTAGCCTTAGAGGAAAGTGGCCAGAACGTCYGTTCTCCTCCTTCCTTGCCTAAAATGTGCTTGGTTTTCTTTTTCCTTTTACCATTTTAGCCCATCTGCCTAAAAAACAGGAGGGAGATGCGGAAAGGGACAAAGTTGTACTTCCTCCCCATGGGGGACGGACACTGAGAACTCCGAGCCTGGGGACCAAGGAAGCAGATAGTGCCGCTGGGGGAGGGAGTGTTTCTGTCATGAAAAGCAATATATGCTCGTTTCAAAAGAAATTTAAGCAAAGTGGAACTGCTTTGAAATGGTCCCCTACAGAGATGACCGCTGCTAACGTTCTGAAGAATATTCTCTGTGTGCATCAAGGTTTTAGTGCAGAATTGCAGCCCTTGTCACCCACCGTTCAGGAGTTTCTCTCTCCATTACAGGTCTCAGTGGCACCCCGCTATACCTCAGAATACTGATTTGGAGGTGAAAATAAAATTGGGACCAAACAGCTCTCTTTCTTTTTCTTTTTTTTTTTTTAAAGAGAATTTTTTTTTGATTTTTAGTTTTTGGTGGACACATCTTTATTTTATTTTTATGTGGTGCTGAGGATTGAACCCAGTGCCCCCGTGCATGCCAGGAGAGCACATTACCACTTGAGCCACGTCCCCAGCCCCAAACAAACAACTCTAATTTTAAGGGAGGCTGTGAGATTGGGAGAAACTGCCTCTCTCTAGGCCCAGCCCACACGGCGCTGAGCAGGAAGGTGCTTCACTTGTGTCTGTCAAATGGGCCCCGATCAGGCTCAATTGAGGCTTGCTTAGGTGACCTCAGACAATATARAGTAAAAGATAAAGCCGCTGGGACATTAGTAGATGACTGAATAGGGTCATCTACGCTAGTGCGACAGACTTGGGTACAGAAAGTTCAACCAAATTGATGTTGTTAACCAACTTGGGTTTGCTCAGAAGGGGAGACGACACAGCATGGGGACTTCCAAYCTTGCTTTCCTGCCTTCAGCCAGTTCATTTAAACAGTGCTGCTTGTCCAGACAATGTCAGGTCCACGGCTGTGCTTTCCCCAAAAACCTGGAGGCAGAGGCGCAGCTTCCTGATGCCACAGAACTGCAAAACAAAAAACACCAAACGTTTATGGCCACCATCTAAGTGAGTTAAAAAMCTATTTCCAGTTTCGCTGGAAAAATGGGTAGATGAGGCTCACTGTGGACCTGTACTCCCTGCAGCTGAGCGTGATGGGAGCATGCTCTCCAGCAGGCCCCTCGACCTGCCTGGGAGCCACGGATGGGACCCCTACCTGGCCCCTGGTGGCACTGGAGCTTGCCACCCTGCCCTGCTGCTCATACTGTGCACTTGAAGGTGAAGGTCGGCAGCCCCAGCATCTGCTGGCTAGGAGACTCTAGCCAAAGAATTCTTAACCTGCATCTCACCTCTGGTAGCTTCAAGTTTTGTAGCTTGTTTTATCAAAGTCCTAATTTTCTGGTTTTAGACAAAAAGGGCACCTCATCATATGGAAATGAGATCACCATCAAATGATAGTTTGATCTGCTGAGTGACACAGAGCTAGCACAATCATACTTAGTTCCTTTTTAATACTGGTGAAGTTGGAAGCTTGATCTCACCACTTCTATCAACCCTGGGTGTAGTCATTATGAAATCCAATCGGGGATGAACTGTGTGATTATTTTTTAAGGCAATAATGCTAGTTTCTCTTATCTTAATAAAATGTGATTATCCACCAAGTCTACCAGTCCAGATGGCCATCTATATCAGAAATAACAGCTTTAGTTTAATTTTTTTAATATGTATTTTTTAAGTTATAGGTGGACACAATATTTTTCTGTGGTGCTGAGGATTGAACYCAGTGCCTCATAAGTGCCAGGTGAGCACTATACCACTGAACCACAACCCTGGCCCCTTTAGATTAAATTTCAACACATTAACAGAAAGTTTTAGGAATATACAGTCCAAAAATGAACTTTGTTCAGCATCTGCACGAATTTCTACCTGACCCAAATGGCTAAACGGGTGTCTACAATTTGATCCCTGAGCACCTGCAATCACTTAGGATAATGAGTGAACACATTTAGTTCTCAGCAACCTGACTGAACATTAAATTGATAATAGAAGCTTACTGGTCATTAACAAATCAACTGATAGAGTTTCCTATTCCAAATTCATTGTTGGTGCTATGAACCTTTTTTTTTTTTTTGAAGATGATGATGATGAACGGCTTCTACTTCTCTGCCCCGTCCCCCTTCCTTGACTTCCCAATGCTGCACACACTCACARCTGTTAGTAAGCTCCCACCCTGACAAACGGTGATGGGGGAGTAAGTCAGTCCCTGCCTGGAAACTGGAGAGCTTCAACAGCCACTGGTTTTCCTTTCCAAGCCGTAAGACCACAGGCGCGCGTTGCTGTGTTCCCGAGGACACACGTGCTATGAGAATTTGTAGTGATTTAGTCCAAGCCATTGTAGCCCTGAGGAACATGGTCAAGGAAGAGGGTGACCCTCTGTCAGTCATTGAGAAATCTCTTGTAATGACATAACTGTCCCTGTGAAGATTGGGTTTAAGAAATAAAATGGGGGCGGGGCTATGGCTCAGTGGCAGAGTGTCCTTAGCACTGCATAAAAGTAAACAAAATAAGGCCTACTGTCCATCATCTAACTACCAAAAAGAAAAAAAGAAAAGAAAAATGACCAATTTGCTAGTGAATGACTGACCTTCATTACAGCAGAGGCTCCATAGGCCTTCCCCTCCTGGGCTTCCCTGGGAGAAGTGACATTTAGCCCAACTGCCAGTAGGTGGTGCCCTGACAACCGCACTGCCCTCCTTGTCAGACCTTACCAGAGAGCTGTGCTGACAAACTACRGTGATTTCTGAGGACTCTGCTTCTCCCGGCCCCCTCTGGATCAGAAGCTGGGCTTTCACACATGCCTCAGAAATACGGGGTCCACTGCTTGCTGGTCCCTGGCCACTGTAACACCTTCTCTTTGGACCTGCTTACACTGTCCTCCAGCACACACCTCTGACTCGCTGCCCCAGTTCATTCCAGGCTCCAGGGCAGGCTCAGCCTTCCTCACAGCCCAAGGACTTTGAAGTGGACAACCCAGACCACAGCCCGGGCCACTCTTCTGAACCCTAATTGCAGGTCCTCCTTCAGGCCGCTTCTAACCACTCCCATGGTTTCCCTTAGGTACCACGGGCACCTGTGTCCAGATGTGATTTTGGAAATGAAGCCCGGCATTCCTCTAGATTCTCCTAGCTATTCCCGTCTCGTGGCCTATTCCCCAAAGAACTAAGCCACCTTGATACGGGTCCCTGGCTCCCACCCTGCACGTCAGCCCTTAGTTGCTGGCCATATTGAC